TCGATGGGCTCATGATGCCTCAGGTCATCAGGGCAGAGATGCCACCTACAAGTGGGCACGAGACCAAGGGGTGGATCTAACCATGGACAGTGTTTCTCAGGTTATCCATGACTGTGAGACGTGTGCTGCCATCAAACAGGCCAAGCAGGTGAAGCCCCTCTGGTATAGTGGGTGGTGGTCCAAGTACAAGTATGGGAGGCCTGGCAGATTGACTACATCACACTGCCCCAGGCACGCCAATGTTCTGCCCTCCCGCCCTGCTCCCAAAGGCAGCAGTGATGGGCAGCTCTGGGCACAGCTCTGGCACGGCCAGCATGGCCTGGGCACCATGGGTGGCTGGGACAAGGGGACAGGAGCCTTCAGCTGACGGGGCTTTCTGGTTTCTCTCCTTGCAGCCGGGCTCTGCGGGTGCTGAGGCTGCTCTGGGCTCTGCCAGGGCTCTGCTGGAGCTCAGCACCGGGCTGCAATCAGCCAAAGGAGAAATGGGGTGACCTGCAGCACAGACTTGCTTGAGCATTTCAACAACACAGCTCAAGTTTGTGGAGTGTACACCTCCAAGGGAAAACATGCCACCACCCAAAAAATAAACTTGTTCAATAACTCCTGAAATGAAATCAATCTTGGATGAGCCAAATGACATTTTTCAGCTTGTTTAAACTGTAGCTCAGCCCTTCTCTGAACTGTTCTCTCCCCCACCTGCCTTTTACTTCCTAACTTCTCCCTCTTTTCCCCCAGTGAGTTCCCAGCCCATTCCAGTCTCCATCACACTGTTGAGTTCCTTGGCGCCGCTCATAATGAGGAAGGCCGAGCCCCAGGCTTAGGGACTCATCCTGTCCCTGGTGAGGAGTAGCAATGTCTCAGAGGTCCAGTGGGATTTTAGTGTCATTGAGAGCTGCTCTCAGGCCTCAGTTCTCCTCACTGCTGAGTTCCCACTCCCTTTTCCTTGTCCTTGCAGCAGGATGAGCTCTGTGAATCCTCTTGAGCCTTCCCACTCTTCCCAGCCTATGCACCCACCTCAGTTAGGCTGAAGCTGCAGCTTCTCTGTCTCCTCTGGCACACCAGTGCAGTCCCCTGTGCAGGGAGCCCCAGCCCCAGAGCCCAGCACTCAGCAGTGCAGTCGGGGCTGGAGCAGCTGCCCTGCAGCCCTGGCCTGGCTCTTTGTGGCAGGGAATGCTCCCTGTTTGCAGCTGTCCCTGCAGGATGGTCCCAGGGCAGAGCCCAGCCGGGCTCCCACTGCAGCCCCTGAAGCTTGGGGCAGACAGTGGTCCCAGAGCTGAGGTTCCCGGGGAGCTCCTGGAGCTGTGCCTCGCACTCTGTTGCCGTGTGTCACCGTGCAGGCTGGCTTGTACGGGGTGAATGTACCAGCCCTGGTTTGACTGACAGGGGCCTGGCCCATCACATCTCTCCCAAGGCTGCAGGCATTGCCCAGGCCAGAATCTGAAGGGGCACAGAGATCAGAGCAGTGAAATCATCCAGACTGGGTTTTTCAAAGGCCCTTTAGAAGGAAGGGCTTGAGAATAAATGTGCTCTCTTTGCCACAGGAACATCGGGGTGAATGGTCTCTTTGGCTCCAACCCACTTTCCTCCCTGAGCCAACATTACCCACTCCCTCACATGTCCCCCCTGTGCCTTCCCACTGCTTTGTCCCATCGGGGCTTCTGCAGCCCCTCATCCCTTCATGGCCCCGTCCCCTCAGGGTCTCCCCTAGCCCACCCAACCTGCCCGGCAGCAGTGCCGCAGCCCCACAGGAGCTCCAGAGGAGCCCCACCAAGAGGCACCTGGGAGCCCTCAGCAATCCAGCCAGCAACACACGGGCAGGAGGACACGGATGGCGCTTCCTGCCTGGGACAGGGCTTGTGGCCATCTCCAGGCACTGCTCTCACAGAGATCCCCACAGCTCCAGCCCCTGCCCATCTGCTCTGTGGGCAGCACAAAGGCTTCAGTAGAACCACCAAAGGCCAAGAGTCTTCTGGCCATTTTCCCTGCAACTCTGCAGGGCTGGGCAGCTTGCTGAGCCCAGGAACCCTTCTCTCCCTCTTCCCCTAGGCCCTGCAGAGCCTGGGCAGCAAAATAAAGATCCTGGGAGCCTGTTTATTACAACACATCCTATATTTATATGCTAAAGAAAAACAAAAGTAAGGAAAGAAAAATCTGGAAGAAATTAAACATTCCTGCTGGCTCAGGTGGCCCCAGCAGACAGATCCTCTGGGATCAGCTCTCTGCAGAGCTCCAGCAGCGCAGCCAGCCGAGCCCCGACAGATGAGGCCGTCTTCTCCATGCCCTCCAGAGCGGATCATGCAGGTTGTCAAAGATGGAATATTGAGCTCTCTCTGCTGCCTGGAGGATGTACAATGTTTGAATTGCCAGGCTTGCGACAGCAACACTGATGTCATTTGCCATGCCTTCAAGGGCTGGAAGAGAGAGAAACAGAGCCATGGTCAGTTCCTGCATCTGAGGGGACCCAAGGAGACCCCCGTGCCAGGGCCATTCCAGCTGGCTCTGGCCATGGCCCTCAGGGAGCAGGGACCAGCTGGATCAGCCCGAAGCTGCTGGCCACGAATCCCCCAGGTGCCCTGAAAGCTCTGTGTGCTCTGCCCACGCCGGCCCTGGTCCGCACAGGGAGCAGAGCCCTCCACAGCCGGGGCAGGGCTCGCAGCTCCCCCGGCAGCCCCCGCTGGCAGCCCGCTGCCCTCGCTCACCCTCACAGATGAGATGGAGCTCTTCCTTCCTCCCCCTCAGGTACCGCCCGGCCGTCCCTGGGAACACAGAGCCTGTCAGGCCCAGGGCACAGCTCCCTGCCAGCGGCGCCGCCAGCCCTGTGCCCACACGCCCTCCTGGCCCGGCTCGTGGCTCACCCATGAACCTGACGGCCGCCTCTCGCAGGGGCTCCTGTGGGCTCTGCAGGTAGGGCAGGGCCCGGCGCAGGTGCTCGGCCACGCTGCTGCTGTCCTCTGCCAGCTGGAGAGAGCGACAGGAGGGAAGGGTTGGCCCCACAGCCCCCCGGGCCGGGGCTCCATGGGCACCCGGCTCGGGCCGCAGGAGCCTGGAGCAGAGCCCGCGCGGCCTCGGGCTGCAGCAGCGGGCAGGGGCACAGCTGCCAGCCCGCACACCGAGCACCGCGCTCAGGGGCTGCTCCAGGCTGGGGCTGCGGCTTCCCGGCCCTCCTTACCAGGCACTCGGGGAACTGCCACAGCTTCTTGTTCCTTCACCAGTTTTTCAAGATCCCTCCTCTTAAGGAACTCAGCCGCACAAAGCAGCATTTCCTGGGAAGCCTGGAAAGCAACAGAGACACAGAGATGGCCCCACAGCCCAGGGCGCAGGACCCCGTCCCTGTGCCAAGGCCAGCAGGAGCTGCAGCCCACGAGGCACCAGGGCAGGAGGCAGCCGAGCCCCCTCCCAGGGGACAGCAGCAGCCCACAAGTCCTCACCTGTGCTACATGCTGGTTCTCATCATGGCAGTGGAAGGAGAGTGGGAGCAGGCTCTGGCGCACATGTGCCTTTAGGGACTTTTTTTCCTCTTCCGGAAAAAAATACAGCATCTCTTGGAATACAAACATGGAGCACAACTGTACCTGGCTATTCTCCTGTATGAAAGGAAGGAAGAAAGACCTCAGCGTCAGCTGCTTCAGGCCCACCTGGGCACAGCCTGTGAGTGCACAGGGCACAAAGTGTGCGGGCAGCACCCGCTGGCCGTGGCTGGAGGCGCAGAGCCTTATGTTGTCAAAGAGTGGCAGGAATGCCTCAGCCAGCTGCAGGGCGAGGGCGCTGGTTATTGGGGCACCATTGCAGAGGAACAAAGCCCTGAGGAGAACCATGGTCATCCTGAGCATGTCACTGTCATTTTTCTGCAGGAGCTCCATGAGCCTTTCATGCGGGCTCCACATCCTTATGGCCATCTACTTGTGGAACACAAGTGTGTGAAACACATCCTGCTGCCACAGGGCCCAGGGGCCCAAGGCCTGTGCCAAAGCACTGGGGCAGCTGCAGCAGGAGGCAGGAGAGCTGGCAGCAGCTGCCCCAGTGCCCAAGGCCAGCCAAGCCCCAGGGACTGCCTTCCCCAGCCCCATGCTGGCAGCACGGCTTCAGCCCCTGCGCTCTTCTCACCGAGACACTGGTGGTGCCGAGCGCCACGAGGCCTTGGAGTGCCAAGCGACGCCTCCCCCTGCACTCGCTCTGCAGGTGCTTTGACAAGAACTCCAGGATGCTGTCATGGCACTCACTCAAGTTCAGGTGCTCCAGGATCTGAAAGGCACAGGCCGGTGACGGGGGAGCGGCCGGCGGGAGCCCAGAACCGCCCAGGGCCGGGCCCAGGCAGCAGCACAGGGCGCGGGCTCCGTCCCAGGCACTGCGGCCAAGAGAGGGCAGAGAGCCGGGAGGCAGCTCAGCGAGGCAGCGCCGGCCTTCAGGCTCACCTCCACAAGGAACGCCAGGGCAGCCAAATCCCGGCATGGCGTATCCTTGCTGAGCAGCCTGAGCAGGTGGAATGCAATCGCAGAACCCAGGGCTTCGGATGCGCGGTGCATTTCTCTGACATGAGGAAACACGAGCCAAACCCCTGAGCCAGTGGGGGCAAACCTCTCCCAGGACTGCCTCACACAGGTCTGGCCTTTCTCCACCACCCTGCAAGGGGCAGCTGAGCCCTCTGGGAGGTTGCTGCTCTTGGGCACGCTCCTCTCCCAGCCTTTTGCAGCCTCCTTGGCCGTCCCTTGGTGACAAGGCCTTCTGGCCCACGGCCATGGGGACTGTGTGGGGCACCTTGGGCACAGGGCACACATGCCGGGGACAGCTGGGGAGCAGGGGGTCTCACCTGGCCAGCACGCCCACAGCACAGTGGTGGGTGTCAGCACAGAGCAGTGTGTCCCAGCCACGCTTGTCTTCCATTGTCACCACCACATCCTCATAGTGCAGTCGGCAGAGCAGGGCCTTCAGGATCTGCTCTGCAAACCTGTGTTCAGAGCAAAGCCCAGGTCATGCTGGGAGCACTGGCTCCCACCCAGGGATGTGGCAGGGAACAGGAGGACTGGCATGGAGCACCTGTTGGGGCTGGTGGCAAGGCCGTGTTGCTGCTGGCATCCCTTCCAGAAGGTATCAACTGCCTCTGACACATCTAATATGCTGAAGAGTACTTGGAAGAGCAGATGCACAAAGAGCCAGGGGAAATATACAGTCACTACATGTGGCACACAGGGCACCTGGAGGATCTTCCACATCACCACAGTTGCCTGCAAAGGACAGAGCAGCCCAAGACAGCACTCAGAGCCAAGGTGTCCGTGTGGCAGGGACAGCCCCACAATGCCCCAGGGCATGGAGCATGGCTGTGGGGTGTCTGCCTGGCCCCTCTTCTGTCCTGTCCATGGGCATGGCCCCAGGGGATGGGATGGGATGGGATGGGATGGGATGGGATGGGATGGGATGGGATGGGATGGGATGGGATGGGGCGGGGCCCTGTGGCCCAGCTCTGCCACTCACCCTTCTGTGGTGGCTGGAACTGCTCCACCACTTCAGGCTGCTGTACTGGGTCAGTTCCAGGGCCTTCTTTCTCCTCCTTCCCCCAGGCCAGCTTGGGCACACTCGCAGGTCTGTACTCTATGTCACTGCCTGGATTCATGGCTACTGGCAGGAGAAGGTGGCTCAGAAAAGGTCCAAGTCAGCAAGTGGTGCAGTCATGCCTTGAGGGCACCTGCAAGAGTGAAGTCTTGGCAAGGCAACAGAACAGCAAGTCCTGGACTCTGGTCTTGGGGCCTCCAGCCACAAGGACAGAAGACTCCTCGTCAAGGACTGTGCTAAGCAAATGCCACAGTTTGCCCATGAGGGCAGCTGCAGAAGAGATGCCTCAGAAAGGCCAGAGGTCACCACGAGCTGTGGTCTGGCCACGAGGTCATCTGCAGAAATAACACTTTGGGAAAGTTCCGGGTCAGCAAGGAATGAGTGCTCTGTGTGAGAGCTCCTCATAGCTCCACTCTGTTCCGTCCTGTCCCATCGCATGCACCAAGCACTGTGGCATGGCCTCGTCACTGCCAACACCTATGCCACAGCATGTCACAAAGGGCCCTTGGATCCCCTGTCCCGTTCCATTCCACGGTAACCATGCTGTACCATGTCACAAAGGGCCCTTGCACACACTGCCCCATGCCCTGGAGCCGCCCCCAGGCCCCCCAAAGTGGCCCAGGTTGGAAGGAATGCCTTGTCCCAAGTGTGTCAGACAGCCCAACAGGATCTTTAGGAAGGGCTCAGCCCATCAGCAAATGCTGCCCTGCTCTGTGGACTCAGAGCAGCAGGAGCCCCCACTGTTGCAGACGATAGATAGATATGATTGTTATCTTAGCTAGCCAAATGTCACTTCTACCCTTGGATGAATCCTGGAGTGAAATGGACTGTTCCATCCCACCCCGCAAAAGATTGTGGTTCATCCCGCACCTCTGTACCTGCCCCTAAAACATCAGAGTCTGTAACCCCATTGGCCCATGCCTTGTCCCAGCCCACCTGGGAGCCCCTGAAAAGGGGGCTCCGAGGGGCCATGTGGCCTCTTGGACTTCCTCCCCCTCTGGGGCTTCCCCTCTCCTAAACCCTCCGTTTCTCTCTCCCCTCCCCCGTCCTCCTAAACCCAGCCACGTGCTACGCCTGAGAGCACGAGGCTTGGGCATTCCTGAATCTTTGAATAAACCTCTCTCCCCAAGAGCAAGCTTCAGAGATCTCTGCCTCCCTACACCCCCACCGTGCAGAGGAGAATACTCTTCCCACAGCTGGCGCCCAACCTGGAAGGAAAAGGAATCCACGCAACTCGACACCTCCATGCACGGTAATTATCTGTGATAGCCTCCTCTTCGCTCTGAGCACAGCCTGTCGTTGCTAAGCAACGTAGAAGCCTTATCTCTTTAAAGTTTGCCGAGGCAATTTACCCTCGAGCACCATCGCCCATGAGTTGTGGGCTTTTGGAGCTCTTGGGACTGCCCGAGCAAGGAGCTGTGAGCTGGTGGCACGTGGCCACGTTAAGAGAGCGCACCGAGCACTGCCTAGCACTGCCTGCGCTGGAAGCCCCGAGTCGGGAGGTCTGAAGGTCCCGAGCACGGAAAAGCCGTTCGGAGAGACGTCCGGAGCTCTGAGGGGACCTGTGCAGAGTCCTGAGGAGAGGATCTCTGCTTTTGCGAACTCGAGGTGAGCTACACAGGTCTAAAATATGGGACAATCCCACTCTACCCTAGATAGAGATCACTATAAACAATTGAACCATTTTTTATGTAGTTATAACAGTACTTTGCCTAAGAAAGAGTTAAAATCCCTCTTGGAATGGGTCCTGCCCCACTTCCCTCATACTGATCGATCAGCCGCCTTTACCAAAGAATTCTGGGACTCAGTAGGTGATAAGCTTTTTATTGAGATTTATAGGAGAGACGCCGTTGCTTGCGAGTTACTCCCAGCTTTTAGAGCTGTGGCCGAATTGTTCGTTC